GACTGGTTCTTTTACGGCCTGACTCGATTATTTAGGCATTGCAGTACAGAATAGATGTGATTATTTGTATTTACGTGACGTATAGTAAGCAACTTGCGAAATATGACGAAACAGGTACTGATTTTCGGTGGTTTTTTTGGTTGTTTTTTTGTTGTTATCCAATATCCAGCCGTAAAAAGTAGCGGAATGTGGTCGTGACATAATATATAGGTAAATAAATAGGTACCGGTATATGATTATATGATAAACAAAGATAGAGACATAATTTGCCACAGTTTATCAAGTTGTTGTATGAAAAAAAAAGTTACTGGTGGAAATGGAACCTGTAAATCTTTCTCTGTCTCGGTAAGCGTCACCATGTAGACGACAGAGACCCGCACGGGCTTCTTTTCAAGATAGCATGGGCTTCTTTTCGAGATAGTACAGCACATACACTGTACATGAATTTCAAAGAAACAAAATAAATTAAAAACACGCTTGGTTTATACAGTAGTTTAGGTGATTTAATATATATATATAGGCCTATATAGGCCTATAGGCCTATGTATATATTTGCCTATATTCTTTTTTATATTTCTATAATTTTATATGTTTCTTTGTAAATGTTTATATTAGGATGTTCTTTGTAAATTAGGAATATACTGAGTATAGGCCTATCTATATGTAAGAAGAGTGACTATATTGGCCCACTTATATTCATATAATAACTATTTGATAGAATTTTACTTGTCGAAACTGTATAAGATAAGCCAATCAAAATACAATATTCGCAAATATATATTTTTCAGCTTGTAATATAATCTTTTTATCGATACCATATCATATTAGACACAAACCGTTTTCAAAGTTTTCCCATGCGTTCGTAAGTTATCATTAACAATAAAAGCGAAAGCGTTTAAGGAGTTAGGAACGTGGATATTCCGGCTTCTAATTGACGGGTTTACAGGCCTCCGGAGACCTGGTTGAAATCAATACAATGTAAAAACAAAGGGAGTCTAAATTTCTATTCTTGCAGAAAATACGCAATTAATCGACTGATAATGAGAACGTACGATAATTGTTACAAACACCGAGGGGTGTTTGTTGAACGCTTGCGCTTAAGTTTTTATCACGTGACTCAGGCATGTGTAAGTGCGAGAATAGCTCTTCACATTGTTTGAAAATGTAGGCGTATAAACATTACAACACATGTATTAATATTCTGTATATTATATATTTCTATATAATATAATTGGCCTATACTTATAAATTTTTACAAATTATACGTCTATACATACATTATATTTATATAGGCCCATATATAATATATATAGCCTATATATATATATATATATGTATATATATAGGCTATATCAATTTAAAACGATTATATTAATCGTATTTGTACGAGAACTCTCTTCACATTATTTGAAAATTTGAAAGGCAAAAAACTAAAAAACAACAATGCTGTGGGAAACAATGGCTGGATCTCGGTAGCTATATACAAATTTGATAAGCAACAGCAAAAAAATAAACTTTCGGACAACACTAGTCCTTCCTCATACACACATAATTATAACACATCTAGATGTGTATAAGAGACAGGGTATTGATTGATGGAGCTAGCTTGACCCTATCTATCTTAAATATATATATGACATATGTACATGATTATAAGTGTGTTCGAAATATTCGTCTAAAATAAATACTAAATGTTATGTCTACATGTCAACGTATAAAATTGAAACTATGTATTGGTGATTAAGGTGCTTACCTTCCAATGCAAGTGTCGTGGGTTCAGGTCCTTAGGCACCATGACTTTTTTCTCGTAACTAATAACAACAGCTCCACTCTCTAGCGAATTACTTCCATTATGTAATTGACGGCTATGCGCTCTTAGATGATTGAAGGACATTTACCGATAACATCAACTGTAGATTCTTATAGACGATTTTACAGATGAATATGAAATGCGATACATGATCTATAGTTATATTTACTGTTTTCGTGATCCATCCTCACGAAAGACTGTTTATATAGCGCTTTTTATCATGTCATTTTATACCTTTGCATGCTAGACACTGTCTTGAATTTAAGATGTTGGTAGGCAAGGCCCAATGGATATCTTAATCAGTTTAGTTTTACTTCTTAGATCTCTACTTCAAAACTCCGCATATTATTTCATTGCATTTGTTTTACGATTCACTTTGCCAAGCCTAATTGTTTTGGTTGCCATCTTCATTAAAGTCGCGTACAAACCCTCCATCAAAGCCTAATGCAATCACCACCATAAGATTATTCGATAGAGAAAGACACTGCAGTGATTTAGTACAAAAGCAAGGAATTGTGATATCTCTTTCAATACTTTGTTTTATTTTGTTTTTAAAACTTAATTTTTTTGCAGTGATATACATTGCCATCCACGAACTGGGGATACGCATACAATGTGCGTATACGTACACGTGCTAAACGTATACGGTACCAAAACAAGTCAAATGTGTACAGAATGCATCAATGGTTATGATCAATTAGTACTTATGCGCTATTCCGTAACGCAACATAATACCACCATACATATATTTCCATTCCAATGTTCAATCTCAAAATTCAAACGACTGCAAAAAATAATCACAAATATTTAAAGATTCGGGACATTATGATTGTTAATAACGAGATATATCTCTTCGGCGAAGTAAACAAATGCAGGCATCAACAAACATGACATTACAAAACGAGTTAAAATATATATAACAATGAATGAATGCATATAGTGTGACCGAGATTAGAGCTTAAAAAATATGTTTTGATTGCGCGCAATATGTAAGTAAAGTGCGCGTAATTATTGTAAACGATGGCGATTGTGATTTCACTATAGGTACGATAATTGTAAGCTAATCGAGTTATCCGTCGTCATAAAATTAGTCTACATTCGACGTAGGTCATGGCTATTTCCTTTGTTAATCGCTAGCTGCTTAAGCTTTTGTTTACAACGAAAATGGGCTATTTTGGCAAACAGGCTTGTTATTTACAGCACTGAGGAGGGAGAAAACCAGAGACTGTGAAAAGACGACTTTAATGTGAATGTTTCGACTGACAGATGAACTACGGTATTATCTTTTGTTTATTCTCCACGCGTGGAACGCACTCAAATTAGCGATAAAAATTAATTCGATCCCATACTCGTGGTATATATATATGTATTTGTATATAGGTTATTCTTTATTTACACTGTGGGACCTGAACATGACAAGGGGTGGGTGCCAGGATTTGTCCCCGACTGAGAGCGAAGTGGGCGTGGTCAGGAGTCGCTCGAAGTCATTCGAAGGTGGTTCAGGGGTGAAATCCCCCTAAAATATGACAATTTAAGGGTTTTAAAATCGATTTTAGAGTCTACTAATTATGTAGAAAACACACGTTTTTCCCCGTCGAATTGTGGTTTGTGGCTGCCCCCCCCCCTTTCTGGCGCCACCCTGTCACCACATAACCCAGTTGGGTCAATATCACTACTAACCCATTATGAAGCTAAGTAAGTGGAGCTAGTGTAAGTCGTGAATTAAAAAAAAAAACACGATTTGAACCATAACTGTAGAATTTAAATGCAATCACCTTAATCAATAGCACAAATTGACTATGATTTTGGGATTTGGAGTCACAGCTGTAAATGTAACAGTTACGTTTTACAATGCCTTACTAATCCCAATGCCCTCTATGCATTCAAATATGTTAAACTATGAAGAAAGTCATACAAGTCCAGATCAAAGGCTGGGGTGCCGACCCTACCGAACCGATCAGAAAATCGCATCAGTATGTAAAAACAGGGACGTTGACAATCAGCATATCGGAACGCGGCCCGAATTTCGGTTCGGCTGCGATGTGTGATGTGAACGCAGCTTTACAACATCTGATCGACACCAAGCACAGTTCATTCTAGAACTCGGTAAAGTCTTCTAGGATAAACAAAACTTCGAATAGTAAAATCAACTCCCTGGTAAAATGGAGGTTTGGAGTTCGATGGGAAAATAGCGTTTTTCTAAAACAAAAAATAGCCTTTATCAATAGAGCACTACACAATTCTATATTGTAGTTGAACATTTCGTGTTGTTTGGTGATGAAAGTTAGTGAAAACTATGAAGTTCTGGGTGCATCAAGATACGCTAATTCCTTTCCTTTTCCTGCGTTTCTTTTCGCTTCACTGCGTTTCCCTCCGTTTCGGCGCGTTTTTCGTCTTTGGTGCACGATAGCTTCTAGGATAATTTTGTGTTAATTAGTTATTTTTTATTGTAAATGTTTGTTTATACCGTGCTTATCTATTTCTTTCAATTACCTTGAGCATTTCTTTTTTTTTTCTTTTTTGCAAATTAAGTGTTCATTCAAATCTTATTCATCTGTATCATAGTATGAATATTAGAAATGATACGATGATCGCTTCGAGCAGTAAAAGTAAAATTAGTATATTGAAGATATCGTCTATAAAAATAATTAATCATACAGACGGCACCGATACACAAGGTGCTATGCGTGATGAACGGTGAAGTGGTCTTAGATGTATTCATTTCTTTTAGAGAATGCCGGATTTTTATTTGACTATAACTTATCATTATCGTTCCCCCTTTCCCTGCAGACAATCATAAATGTTCCAACCGAAATACAACAATATAAACAAAAAATCAATTAAATGTGGTAACACCGTTAAGCATTATTATAATCATATAATCATCATCATCATCATCGTTATTATAGTTCATGTTATCAGCATCTAAGGCCTATTATTTTATCTTCGTTTTTCTTATCATATCATTGGTTGGTAATCCCTGTTTCTCATTCGCAATGCCATTTTCATGAAATTGATATATACCGGTAAGTGTTGTAATGTAGGCTATGTATACTACTGAGGACGGTGCAGTATAGATACTATTATAATTTGTAAAAAAAACTGTGCTCAGGTCTTGTTAATTTTTTTAATGTCGTTAGCAGTCTTTGATTTTGATTTTGTTTTTTAAATAATACAATATTATCAGAAAATGCACAAAATTATATTATTTATTCCGATTTGCAAATATAGTTAGTTTGGTTGATATAATATTAAAAAGGATATTTGTCTGTTGGTCAAAATGGTGACTCATGTGTGTCTACTCTATCTTAGGTGCCGTTCACACTGTAATTTAACAAATTAAGGTATGACACGATGACGTTCACATCCGAAAGTCCTCTTAGGCCTATGTGTGGCACCTCTGAAACGTTGTAAATATAGGTTAATCTATCAACGTACAATTATTGGCATAATTCAAAATAGTTGATTACCATCTGTATTTCCTGTACCTAACTAGTCATTATAGGATATTTAATAGCATAATTACACCTAAAAAAAAGGTAATTATCTAGCCGCACAAAGAATTAAATCTTGATGACCAGGCCTTCAGCAGCGTACAATTTAATTTTGTTCAACTCAACAACTTCGTCGTTTCGGTCCATATGGGTGCTGACGGCAACCTGGCCCTGAATCGGGATGCTTTCGTCAAGTTCGTGAAGATCAGTAACGGTCGGAAGCTGACTGAAATTCACGATAGTGAGGTAACTGCCACTGTCGTCGTCTGGTTCCCGGATGTATGCAACCACGTCCACGGTGCTGTGAAGTATCGAAAAATCCCGGAAATTGTCGCTCTGAAATGCTCGGTTATCAGATCGCAGTTTGGTAAGGGCTTTAAACATGCTTAACATGGAACCATCTAATTTTTCTTCATTCTGTGTAGATGCAAAGAAAAAAACAATAAATTGAAGTTGACCCACAGCTTATAAATAGGAGTTTTGAGCAGTACTTATTACGTTTTATTTCTAATTAAGTTTTAATTGCATTTTATATTTAGTACGATACCGTAGTGTTACTTTTATTGTGATTTACAAGTATATATGTAGGCCTAACATGTTTTAATGTGTATCTTTATATTTAAATTTTTGATTTCTGTTGAGTAAAGTTTACCGTGGATAAAGAATAAAGTTATTAGGGTATTATTATTACCTATAAGTCTGTAATTCAGTGAAAAAATGGTTAGTGTTTGACGTTGATAAATCATTGATATATTATTTGAACCATTCTGTGTTTTTTTTACCAACTTTTAGAGGTTTTTTGACCGAAATTTAATATTTTCACCAACCTTTACATTTACTGTGTTATAGTTATCGCCAACAGGAATCCAAGGAGGGACAACCGGTGAAGGTGTTGCGCCGCCGCCAGTAGGAGTAGCATAAGTGAAGCCCGCATAAGGACTTGAATCCCATTGCATCGGCGACAACTCATATTCCCTTGTTTTCATTCTCCAGTTGTCCTGCATTATAAAAAAAGACATTATAAAACGGACTGATAAAAGAGAAAAAAACTACATTCGAGCCTATTAAAGCAATATTAATGGAAATGTTTGAAACATATCTTCGTCTCCAAATCTAACTTTTATTACTTTGTGAATTACGTATTGGACTTAAAGAACACGCCATCAGCAATTGTTCCAAATGAAGGGAAATCAAATGTATACGGATGAATTAAAATACCAAAGGTTGATTTCAAGGCCAAATATGGTGAACAAGTGACCAAATATAGTGAACGAGTGACCAACTACTGGGCATGGAGAAAATAATTCGGTATATATAATATACATATATTTATACATATTATAAATAAATAAATAAGGAGAATAACCCGTAACTTGCAGCGTCACTGTGCTGAATTGCGTATGGGCGTGGTCCGTGACTACCTAGCAGCCGTAAATAGGCGCTTCGTGGTAGATGTTCACATCATTCCACAGGGGCTGAAATGAACCATAACATCGGGGTACCCCTACTCTTACAAAAGTTGCAATGGGTTCTTTAAAGTGCACTCGAGCCAGATGTATACACTGGACCTCCATTTGAAGTCCTTATCAAGGAAGACTGGGTTCTACCAACCGAACCATGGGCGAGGAGCGGCTGGAACCAGCACCGATGTTAAGGCTGTAGCTATTTTTAAAAATTATAAAAATAATGTGAAAAAAAGGAAAAGTTAAAATTAATTTTAGATCCGAGAGTGCCATTTCGGGCCGTCTAGATGCGCCAAAATCATAAATTTTCTTTCCTCAGCCACAACCATGGTGGGGATGAGGTGGCTAGACCCTCTATTTGTGGAAGGCCCTTCCTAGGTCCCCTCTATTTCGAATTCCTGGATCCGCCATTGAATTCTGTCATCGTGCTTATATTACTCTAATCACGAATATTGTTAAATTTTCATATTTGAGCTCGTTAAATTTAGTTTGGAATGGCCAATAGCGAATATATCATTGTCTTGTAAAAATTATTGTCACTAACACAACGTAGAAACAACAATCGCATTGGAAACTGAATTCATAAAAGGGATGGCGTTAGAATGTTAAAGGAATAACCCCAGGTATGCTTATATTGTGTTGAAACATGCGGCGAATCAGCTGAGATCTAAGGTTTGTGGTTCACCATGTACTGATTTCGAGATTTGTCTCGGTGTTGGACAAGACACTATATTTGTGTTTTGTTGTCTCTTAGCCCAGGGGTATAAGTGGGTACCTGATAGCCATAGGCTGATTACAGATGCTCCGTTATAAAGCACGCCTCCAGAGAACTAAGAATGCGTTTTGTAGGTATTTAATATGGCGTAATAATGTGAAGTACTTGATTGACAAGATACGTTCTAGGCCTGGCCACGACTGGCACTATTATTAGTAATAGCAACGATTATCTTACTGGATCATCGATGGCCCTAATGTCTTGGTAGTTATATGTTGACTCTAACTCGATATCCTCCATTCCGATTTCGTCTCCATAGTAACATATAGGTGTACCGGGTAGAGTTAGTAACATCATGTTAAATGGACGCGAGTAGTAATTCCCATTGACCGTGGAACCAAAACGACTTGCCATGCGCCGTGTTTCATAATTTCCAATCTAATAAGAATAAAGAATTGTTGGTACGTAAACAATGACAAGATTAAAAAAGGAATAGGCCTACGCCTAGACAGACACAATTTTCCCAAATTGTTTGTGAGTAAATTCATTCATTAATTTTGAGTGAGTGAAGAGTGAATTTGCATGTATGCTCCAAGTGAAATAAAATGTAAAAACAATGAAAAAACGATAGTGTACAATTATTGAAGGTTGACTTGCGGAACACACATTTATTAAAATATAGTTTGATTTTGCTATATTTTAATAAATTTGTGTTCTGCAAGTCAACCTTCAATGTTTGTACATCGTTTTTATTTTCATTGTTTTTATTATACATGTATATATATATAAATATATATATATATATATATATATAAATATATATATATATATAATATAATATAGGCCTAATAAAAATAAAGCCGACATCTAAAATACAAATATTAAATTGCACAATTGAATTGGCCAATATGAGTTCATGGTCCAAAGCCGTGAATGAATCGTACTATTCTATCTTCGGTGATTTGGAACTTTTGTTTTAAATTTTTGTTTACACCTTCAAACCATGATGTTGCACAATAACACACATTGAATTATGGCAGTACATAACAATTGTTTGATATGTTTGTTCACACAAACTGCCTGACGATAGAAATACCTTATGTAGCATTTGCTTTTCTGATAAAGCTCTTAGCAATACAATTTCCAAAGACAAAATGATCATGTTAGATACCTAAATATCTGACAGACTTACAACATTTAATGTAAGGCCTCTGAGGTAAGTTTGAAGAAGTGTATACTTAACAAAAGCGAAAAAAGTGGTCAATATTTATTTATTATTACTTTTTAATTTAAAACATAGAAATAAGGGTGTTAGATTTACAACTTGATGGCTGAGCACCAATCAAAAGATTCGTACCTGAAAGTTCGGCCATTTACCACTCGGCAAGTCATCAATGTATTCTTTTATCGTATCAGCTATATGCAGGCCGGTAACCATAGTGCCCAGTTCACCAGTGAGGCGGGCTAGGTTGAAGTTCTGCGGGATATCGGCTTTGTTGTTACTGGTAGTACCATAGTACTGCTCAAGATAGGTCATGTTGCTATCAGAATCCGTCATTAACACCCTGAGTAAACAACGGTAATGATAAGCAGTAATAGTAATAAACAGTAATAATAATAATAATAATAATAATAATAATAATAATAATAATAATAATAATAAGAATAATAATAATAACAATAATAATAATAATAAACAGTAATAATAATAATAATAATTAATAATAATAAACAGTAATATAATGATAATAACATAATAGGCCATATTATATCATATCATAATATATACCATACATATAGAAAATGTATATTAAAAAATATAAGTAATATATATATATATTTAAATATATGTAATATAATATGCTATGTGTTAACAATTATGTAGTGACAGGCATTTATCAACTTACCTGTATCCACCTGCAGTAGAATACTGATCAAAGATACCGCTTCTCCAATCTTCCAATAATTCTTGAGTTAAACTGTTTTCTGACGTATACCAATGCTTCAAACTGTCATATTGCTCGGTCTGAAAATATGTACTAACTTAGTATTTGCTTATTTGTGCCATCAATGATTATAGGGGTATGCCTATTGTTTATTATATTATCATATTAATGAATGAATAGCTAAATGAATGAATGAATGAATGAATGAATAGCTAAGTGGATGAATAAATGGATTAATGAGTAAACAATCGAATGGATGAATGAAATTAACGAATGTGGCAGTAATGTAAATTTTATGAAAAAATGAATGAACCAATGAATGTATGAATGAATGAACGAACGAAGGAACGAATGGATGAATGAGCAAATAAATGAATTATTTAAAAATTGTATGAATGAATGAATGAACGAACGGACGGACGGAGGAATTAATGAATGAACGAATAATTAATTATTTAATGAATGTATGAATAAATGACTGAATGACTAAATGACTGAATGGATGGATGAATATATGGATGAAAGCAACAAAAAGAAAGAAATGATAAAAAATGATTGCATGATCAACTAATCGATCAATCAATTATTCAATCCCTTAATCAATCAGTCACACATAATCCAAATGTAGCCATCGTAAATTCCAGTAACTAACTTACAGTGCCATTGTAGATACTCTCATCAAAGCTGGGGTTAGGGGGCTCGTTCTGATCAAGTTTTGAGGTTTCATATAGAAACTGAATACCGTGCATGTTCATACCATGGACTCCATTTTCCAACCAAAACTCCAAAATATTCTATATAAAAAAAAACACAACAAAATGATAAAAATAGACAATCTCGAGCGTCTTCTTACGTTCTTAAAATGTAAACACTCTGAGTAACACATCGTGTCATTGGCTACGTTGAATCACGTGCCTTCACTTCATTAAATCGATCTACTACTGCGTGAAGAAATATATAGAACTATAATAACTTGAAGAATATTCCTACAATCGCGGGTTCATTCAGTGATTTCAAACGAAGAGGTCAAATGTTGAAATTGAAATTAAAAGCAGACCAGCTGACAATTATGAAGTATTTCCATAACTGCGAGAAAAAAACCCCTGGTTTTTGTGTTGAATATCATGATAAATTCAGAATGTATTTCTTTTTCTCAGAACAAATATTGGACAACATCCGACTTTGGAAACACGTTTTCAGTAATAATTTCCTCTTTAATCAGAGGCATTTCTGTGATTACTTCCAGCAGGTGACGTAATCGCAATTCGTTTTTCAAGTAGGCCTACCTTCTTCCCTCATGCAGCCATTAAAATATATTATCAAGCTCTGAAGCTATACAGTTTTGATTAAATAATTTAATCAATTAATTGTCTGTGTTTGACTAATGATTGTTGTGATGACCGTTTATTAGCAATCTTTCTCAGCCTCTGTTTGACTAAAAAAATGTCGATAACAAAAGTTTGAATTTTCGTATATTAGAAAATGAACACAGTACAGGTATTACTCGATTTAAATATTGAAGCCAGGTTCCGGAGGAAAAACAAATGTTGATATATTTTACAACAGAATTTCCTAAGACACAAAAAAACACATTTGACGAAAAATTATAGGGAGCGGTTAATGAGGTAAAGGTTGTTGAATATTAAAAACTGGGGGAAGCAGCGTAACCACCCCTTTTTCCACCTTCTTAGTTCTTAAAACAATCATTTGTACAATTATATCAATTTTTCCTTCGGAACCTTACTTTAAATTCTTTGATTCAATTCTTTTTTATCTTTATCGTACTGCTGCAAGAGCTATGATGGGCTTGCTAAAAAAGATATAAAATAATTATCAGCTACAAGTTAAAGACACATAGAAACAATTATAGTTTTTGCTGATGCACACACGTTTTAGAACGAAAATCCTTTTATTGATTACTTTATCAGTCGTAACAACGGTGGTATTAAGTGTTCTAATTTTCAATTAAAAACTTCTAATTTTCAATTGAAAACTAAATTTAAAAAGCACTTCAGATATTGAATTTTATTGTTCAGGTTCCACACAGACAGTACAGCACTGTATACTATTTGTATTGTTAATTAATTAGGATGTAAGTAACTCAAATCGACTAGTAACTCCACCTGACGTCATAAGTCAATGACCTTAGCCCACAGAAGACCAGTCTGCTTTAAGTAAGTAGAGTAGAAATTATTCAATTTTAACTAAGACTACCTGAATGACTAAGACCATTCGTAACAGTAATTGCAAGGAAAAAATATTTATCTAACATGTTGCACAATAGACCTTTCAGAAGAGCCATGGAAACTTAGCTGAACAATCAGGAAGAGTTATACAATAGAAAGGATAATATTCAAAAACGCGTTTGTTAATAATGTCATTAATAAGGTAGATATTTAGGTTAATAACGTAATTTTGAAGTTGAACTTAAGACACTCTGCTATTGCAGTCATATTGCAAGTCAAAATGAGAAGTGAAGTTTTCATTACAATAAAAATAATAATAATAATAACAATAATAATAATAATAATAATAATAATAATAATAATAATAAATAATAATAATAATAATAATAATATGTAGGCTTACATATAGCGCTATTACAACAATTCTCAGAGTGCTCTTTCACTTATTACCCCAGTCATTGGAACAAAGTCTACGGGTAAAATTCGATATAGTTTGCTGCATGAAATATATCAGCGAATTCTTGCACTCTAACCACCTCAGGTACTCATTTATACTCTTGGGGGTGGGGTGGAGAGAAGCAATGCTTATGCAGATAAAAAGCACAAGCGAAATGCACAGCAAGGTACAGAAGCCCCGACTTGGAGGTCCGGGGAAACCAAACCGTTCCCGCTGCGCTAAACCACTTCTACAATAGTTTTAGGAGTAGCCTTATCACAGGATTTAAACACGGGAGACTGTGGTTTAAAAGCAAGTGTACTAAGCACGTTTCATAAACTGGCTACAATATTTCCACTGCATCCCTACAATGCAACGGCTTTCTGATTCATCCCCCCGACAGATTGGAAAAAGTTAAGCCAAGTCTTTCATGGAAGAACCGAAACCCACTGACCAACCATCGCTGAATTCATTAGACCATTAAGGCCAACTCAGACAGCGTCGGCCGACGCAGCCCGACCCGATTTATCGTCGGGGACAGTCTTAAGCCCGTAATTGGTGGCATTTCTGATTGGCTAAATGCCACCAAAGTTAATGTTCTACTTTGAAAATGGGCGCCAACAAAATTGGATGAAGCCTAGGATAATACCAATCCGGCCACCAACGGCCTAGAGATCAGACTAAACTAACAGGTGTCCGCAACATCTGTTGAAATGCGGATGGTAAAACCAGGTGGTCACCTCCACGTTTTTATTTCATAGATCCACCTGCGAGGAAATGTTTAAACCCAATCAAGTAATTCAGGTCACAGAGTTAACAGGGTCACGCAAAACTTAACAATAACATTCACAAAGCGTTTCGGACGTGCGAAATTGAGTCATGCATAGCTTTTCTAGATCGTGTAATTAACTCAATTGGCTGCTGCACTCACTGAACCTTAGGACATCGAATGCTAACCCGCGCGCTTCCATCATTATCACCTTCAGCGCGTGATGCAAAAGAACAGCCTGATTCCGCCAAGAATCACATTCTACACATCACGACGACTAATCGAGACGCATATAAAGCGTAACCAGTTGTAGGTAAATTGTAGTGACCTGGCCTAGTAACACAACAAACACGCTGTTTATTGAACAATTAGGCTATATGAAGCACTTAATGTTCTGCCGGGATCATCTTCATTTAGAATTGAATTGTTTTAATCATCACTTCAAATAGAAATGCATATATCTAAAAAAAAACGTTGGCCGGAAATACGACATAATGTGACAAGTTTATGACTTGATGGTAGAGGGCGCCGTGATGCTATAGAGAAAAGTGTGTGTACAGTAATTCAATTAACCAAATTAACTTAAAAGGCTATATAAAGCTCCTTCAGACTTTCCAGACCACGTGGGTCCCTGCCAGGACTTCACTATTTAAAGCATCACTTAGCTTCCTCTACACACCCGACCACTGGCAACTGTGAGTCGGTGATGCCACCATGATTTTTTGGTTGAGGCGGCGCCAGGATTTCCCCGATGAGGGGTCCGAGCTCCCCGACAAGGGGGTCCACTAAACCTACCACCCCCCTTCCCTTTTATCGGGGAAATAATGAAATTTTGTGTTAATCATGGGATTCTTTATTTGAAAAGGATGTTGGTGGTACTAGTCAACCTGTCGGGGGTAGGCCTACTAACCCCCTGTCGGAGGTACCAGCCCCTGTCGGGGAAGAGCTGCCGCACCAATGCAACCCATACGATCGCAATAGTATACAACACCTCTCACAAACGGTAGCACTGCTCGCACTAAACAATTTTTAATCCCTAAAATTTTGACAGCTTAGTAAGACATGCTTCAGCTTCAAATTGTACTTTCGGCGCTCGAAATTTGATTTTTCCCCGACGACTTTGCGAAAATTCCCCAACAGGGGGTCCAAGCAGGCTCCAAAGGTCCCCAACGGGGGAATCCTTTTTCCCCTGGATCACCCCCTTTAGCGCCGCCCCTAGGTTGAATAAAAAAAGAAATGCCAATAAACGAAGCTTATAAATGTAATTGCTAGCTAACAAAATCATAACCCGAGCATGGAAACAAAATTTATTACACCAACTCGTGAAGTTTCACATTGATTTTTTTTTTTTTTTTGCATTATTGAAATGGAGAGAGAGAGAGAGAAATAACAAAATTAATTATAGGCCTATGAATATTTACCTCCATTTTCTGCCTGACGCCTTTATTCCTCCAGTTAAGGTCGGGCTGGCATGAGGACATCTGATGAAGATAGCTCTTACTGTTTGAGTCCGACTTTGTCCAGGCTGGTCCTCCGTGCGTACTCAACTACATACGTAACACATATTCATATTAATATTTTCTATGATTATAAACAATTAACTTAGTAAAAGTTAATTTGCTTATCATTTAGTCAAATACATTCAATCACAGATGTCTTTATGAACTTCTTAATAAGATATAACTAATAATATGTTGATATCAATAATAATTAAGAAGTTATTTTACATTTGTTTTATTTGCTTCAAGTCAATGAGATATGATGGAAAACGTTTAAAAAAGAATTTGTGAGAGTAAAATAAAATCATATACCCGTGTAAAAATCATAGTTATCATCAACAACCAGAAGCCTACATTGTTGTTTTGAAAAAAAACCCTCGCTTATTCAGAAATATCAAAACAAACAATAAAACTTGTGATTCGTTAAGCCGCAACCCATTTAGAACTAAGGAGATAATCCGACACAAGCAAAATCACATTTTGTCGTGGTGACACTTTTAAATCTAGTCTTCAAAATATCAGTCTGGGCCACGTTAAATAGATGAAGACATGCAATTAACTGGAAAGATATGGATGATTATCCTAAATGTTGTTTGATGTAACGCCAATATGTGTCACGATCATGATGTTATTCCATGATGCCGGCGAATATATAATAGGGTTGGGCGCCCTCTTCAGTTTAATAAAGTTTAGCGAAGGCAGTTATTTCAACGTCACGGAATTCTCATAAACTGACGTCATAAGTTATTACGCACTAATATTCATCCATATACAGGGACAATGTAAACATACTGAATGTGTTGTAAGAGAGAAATCTTAATGTAAGATTTATGTTGAGCTTTAATAAAAAAAAACCGGGGCACGTTGAATTGCATGAAAGACATATGCCTACATGCATAAATCATAAAACTAACTTCACAATAAAGCCCTATAAAAGAAGCGAAAATAGGCCTTCTATAAACTACTTTAAAAAAAAAAAAACCCGCTTACCCAGTTATTGGGTGGTGTTGACTTATCGGACCAGACGTAATAGTTGACGTATTCGTTACTGGTTCCGTCGGTTGAATCAAGTTTACTTCCGTTGAACCACATGTGTTTATCACTCGATTGGTTTGGCACGAAATCCAAAATAACAGAAATTCCTTTAAAAAAACCAAAATATCAAATAATAAAAGAGGCTTATACTGTTTCTGTTAAAATAAGAAAATCCTCTTTAACTCAAAAATTAAATTAGAATGGTAAATTTTTCTGTAAACCATACGAGGATCAATGAATTCCCTGCTCTGACAATGAGACACATTGGCTCTGTCCATGATTATCAATTGTATGCCCATATATAGTCATGGTGTGCCTATATATGGTCATGATATGAGGTCATCATGACCATATTTAGGCATTTCATATGGTTTTTTTTTTGTCAAATAAAGTTTTGATAGTGAATACAGGACTTAGGTACCCCAGTGATTTGTTATATGGTTTTATATTGTATTTCTACCTTAATACTAACTATACATTTATTATAATATTTAATATTTCTAAATTATTTAATATTAGCCACTGATGTTTGTATATACCTGAATAAAATGTTTAAATGGGTACAGGGGGAGGGAGTCTTCGAGGTGACTTCATATTCAAGCGATAAATAGGCCTACACTCTGGTAAGCAGTATGTCTTTATGTAGGCCTATACATGTTATTACAACTCTCTTTTAAAGGCTACCGTATAGGATGAGTGTTGTATGGGCCCAAAATGAATTATGACGTAGCTTCATGAGAAAAACGATGAATATTCTACCTTTTTCGCGAAGTGTGTCAATCATTTTTTCAAAATCATCCATCGTTCCCAGCTTTGGATCTATGGCTTTATAATCTATGACGTCATATCCAAATGCTTTCCCGCCTGATGAAAATATCGAAGTAAGCCAGACGGCACCGATACCAAGAGACTCCAAGTAATCCGCGCGGTCAGTGATGCCTAAGACCAAAGGGAAAAATACATAATTAAGTGTAAATCTAGAAACTGAGACATTACTCTATCATTGACTGATGAGATAATATGACACCGCCATGCCCATATACGGGAAAAACGGCACAAATATATCATATAAATACTTTACTTTCAAAATCATTTATCTCTGACTTATATCTTTTGTTTAATTTAACTGATGGGGACATCCATAAAAATTTTAATTATAAAGTATTAAAAAATTATATATAGGGTCTGTATATATATATACATTATTATATTTTTTTCTGTAATACCTTGCAGGTCACCAAAACCATCAGAGTTTGAATCCTGAAACGAGAGCGGGAAAATCTGATAGATGACAGACGTCTGCCACCACGGAAGACACTTGGGAGTGACGACGATGATTGTAATGGCGGCAGCCAGAATACAGCACCAGCAAATAAAGAGGATGATGAGTAGAATCCATCGGGCCATTCGCCAATTGTGCGATTGCGAATACTTGAGTAACTCCTCCTTGGTCAACGCTAGAATGTAAGATAATAATTATCAAAAAAAGTATCAACCTTAATTATCAAGTGAAGTTCGTTAGCTTACATCGCTTGACGGGTAATTTGGTTGGTTGAATCCATATTGAATATTATTTCATTATCATCATCGCCATCATCATCATTATCATTGTAACCGTCACCATTATTATCATCCTCCTTAATATCATCGTTGCCATCATCATCATCATTAACGTTGTAACCGTCAACATTATCACCATTATCCGTCATCATTATCATCACATCCGCCATCGTCATCTTCATCGCCTTGAGTTCCCACAATCATCATGTTGATTATCACGGAACTGTAGTGGCAGCCCTTCATCATCATCATTACCATTCTCACTAACAGAATCACTACCACATAGCCACCACATTGCTATGACACTCTCTATCCATACAATTGATGTAAGACAAGAAAATCATAAGTATAATGACGAACACCTGAAAAAAGAGGAGCAATTATGTTTCCAACAATATAGAAAGAAATTTGTAATCAGAGCAGAGGTGCTGCTAGATTAAATTGAAGCAATGTAGGAGTGCGTTATTATAGTGTCCTCCCTACGGAGCATGTTAGTCGCGCATTAATATGAAGCCCTCCCTCCTACGGAGCATGCTATTAGCTCTGCCGTTGCGGCAGCATTATAAAACATCGTTATGGTTCAACCAATAGACATTCACTGTCCCAGTAACTATAGTAACCTTCTTTGGTTTACCATGTTAGATCTTTTTAGCGGGCTGGAATCTTAGGTGCTGAAATTTTAACAATTTAGGGGTTTCAAAGGCTTATTTAATCCATTTTAGTCTACTAATATGTAGAAAATACGGTACATATAATTTTTTTTCTCCCCGACGAATTGTGCTTTTTCTCCCCGACGGGGGCTCTGCCCCCCCCCCCCAGGCCTCCCGCTGGTGCCACCCCTGCTCTCCTTATCAGCCTCTGCAACCAAATTTCGCTAGTATCTTTGCTACAACCGGGTGATAATGGTATAAGGTACCAGAAGAAGATACAATGGACAACTGCGCATCAACACGTGCTATTAATTCAAAGGACTAGAAATTGCAAATTGCAAGTGAAGTGCTGCGAAGTACAGCTGCATATAAATGTTCTTCGAACAAAATTATTTATGCGAGTCAAGTGAAAATAATGAATATAACAAATAATATGAGACGCGACCCATTGTCTATATTAGAACACTACTTATTGGGTAACTAAGTCGTAATTTTTCATTTTTGTCAAAAAGTGTCTATAGTGGTGAATTATGGTTTAGGTTTTTTTAAATAAAGTAAAATTTCTATGTATGTGGAAAATGTGTTAATTACCAAAGGTTACAATTTTTATTTTGAAGACTGCATGGTCTAGGAAGTGTGCATTTTTTTATGGGGCAAGTTTCCAAGGGCGGGTTTTCTAGGGGCATTGACTGCCAAAGAGTGTTGCCAAAGTGCGAGCCAGCGTGTTATTTGTTCACAAGTGCGAGACATCGCAAGTGTGAGCCAGCGAGCCATGACGTGACGACAATAGATAGGAGACGTTGTGCGAGGTATCGGCTGAGATTTGTGGAGTACGGTACAATTCAAAAAAAAACTATAGGTCTAATAATGAATTATTGTGATGTTAAATAGACAATGTTAGCTATCAAGGAGCGACGTTGTTTTTCATTGGGACCTTCGTCCCTTAGGCCTATAACATCCTAGCTAGTCTAGGCCCGGCTAGCGCGACATGCGGACGTTGGTACGAGTAGGTTAGTCTACAAACGTCGCCTAAAGTAATTGATTTTACCCGGCAGAGCGAAAGAAGGAAACTCCACTTTTCAGTAGTCTTAGGCGCCTGTTTTTTGACAAACAATGACCTTTCAGAGGTCAAATTGCTGTCAAGAATATGAATTGGCTGCTTCGCAGCAATAAAAGGATGTTTACTTTGCTTGTGACAATGCACGTAACAATTAAGCATTAAATTTTTGCTTGCACTGAAGCAGATCTGAAATATAATCATAATGTATGTCAAATGTTTGTAAATGATATTTTGAGGTTTTTCAGACTTGTCTTGGTGAAGAGGTATTTCTCTATTGTATCTGCACCCATGAGAAATAAAATGTTTCAGGTAGGCCTACTACCACTCTTCAAGCAAACCCTGTATTGCTGAGATTTGTTTATGTCGTCGTCAATCAGTAAATGTTTTTCGACTTAATACATCATGTTCAGATCTGTTCACTTCAATATGAAGATCGTTAATGGACGATTTATTGCTTAATTGGAGAACGTCATTAGACATTCTACTATTTTTGTTAGTATTTGCTCTGCCCATTTGAAAGGGTACAGCGTGCACATTTAAGTCTTCGGGAACAATTCAAACAATGTAAACCTCTGTTCAGCTTGAGTCAATAAGGGTGGCGCCTTATCCATTTGGACTATTGTACCTTGTATCATGACCCCATTCTGAACCATGTCAACCCAAAAGTCAAATATTGATAACAGAGGCAACGTTTGAGTTCGATCAAAAGCATTTTGTGTTCGAAAGTGACCTGACATTGTGACAAGTAACTTAAAACGTTTGACATGAAGAGAAAAGAATTGCATTAACTTAATTATAGTCCATTGTAAATTAATAATCCAACATTGTAAAAATCTGAGACTCAAACTTTTGTAGCCGGGAGAGGTGACCAACAGAATCCCTTGATCCTCACCGAAACCCAAAAACTGAATTAAATGTCCGCAAGGGATGCATACTTTGTTATATCTCATTTTAGATATATCGAAATCTGAGACAAGTCGTAATTAAGGAGTCATACTCATTTTCTGGAAGCATCTAACATAGGTCCATTGTCATGAGGGCCTAAGTTAACAAAAACTTAATTTGCGTTGCTAATTTTGTCAATTCGTAAAGTGAATGCCATCACGACGGAATGGCAGACCGTATCGGTTACACATTAAACGTTTGTATTTTTAAAAACAATCAACATTTCAGAGACAGTGTCTTTGCAAGTGTCTTTGAAAAGAAAATGAAAAAAGGAGAAACAATCATGTCATAAATATAGAGAAAGAAACTCGCAGACGTAAGCAGGGGGGGGGGGGGTGTGCATTTTCAGGGCTTGGAACCAACAATCATAGGAACGTTCCCCCGCCGTAGGAGCGCGGCATACCGGTGTGAACAGATTGGCTGGTGGAAGATCTCGGTGGTACACCTCGGTGGTACTAAACATGTACAAAATGCTTCGCACAGCAGCAATGCTTCGCACAGCAACAATGAATATTCAATGAATATTGTGTGTGTGTATTTGTGTGAACGTAAAGAATTCGTTTATCATTATAGTCGGTCCATAGTACGACTCGTGGCCTCCTATACTCTAGTTAATAATTAATTATTGCAAGTCAGATTTATGACATAATCATAATAGGCCTATACACTGTAAAAACAGCGTGGAGGATTTAAACACAAAGCTCCACTTGATTAAAATTTAATATATTCAATTGTGCATTAGAAAATACCTGTCTCTTATACACATCTAGATGTGTATAAGAGACAGGTATAGTATAGAAAACAGGGGACTGGAGCGGGGTGAGGCCATACTTTAGTTGAGCTTCTCGTGACCAGCTCAGATACGTCAACAAATAGGCTAAATACAGATGCTTCTCATCCCCGTTCTCGTTCTAGTTTTAGAAAGCCCTACTTTTAACATGTTTGCTTTTATATATTGCTTTTTAATTACGTGTTATAATCATATGATCAGTATTTTGTAGGTCTATACTAGGCCTATACAGTATATGTTTTGTATTTTAACATTGCAATGAATTGTTTGTCGCCTAGTATTTCCAATTTGGACAATAAATGATATCTTGAATCTTAAACCTGCTTGTCTCTGTCCCCATGTAAAGCGCAATTCGACGTGGTGCGCGTAACAGATCATTTTAATGATGATATGCTATAACTTACCACCAGAGCTTGGTTTGTCAACTTCGCTAATAGCCATATGGAATTGAACATCTTTTTCATCTCTGACGGGCTCTTTTGTTCCCTTACTTGGTTCTCCAAGATCGATGTCCTGGTACTCTTTCCCGTCGACAAAACCGGCGTTGTCCATCGTTTAGATGAGTTAATTGCAAATGTCTGGTAGCAGACACGGCCTAGTAGTACACTGTCCAACAATGATTACACTGTCACACACACTCGGAATGATTCTAGGCAAGTATGGTATTTCAACCGTGGCAAAACAAATAATAAGGTGGACCAATGCAAGTTAACTGTTTGGTCGAAGTCCAATAGAATACTCCTCGTAATATCTGTTGATATGGTTTAGTGACAGTACTTTTTTTTTGCATATTTTGTGGATTCTATTAGAAGTTTAAGTTCTGTAAATGCAGGGGTAGCGACATCATGGGGCGTGGTCGGGCGTCGCTCAAAATCATTCGGAAGTGGTTTAGAAGGCGAAACCTCAAAAACTATGACAATTTAGCGATTTCAAAGGCTTACTTAATCGATTTTAGAGTTTACTAGGGCGTATGTAAACAATTTATTTCTTTTTCTCCCTGATAAATTTTGTTTTTCTCCCTGATGGAGAGTTCGCCGCTCTCCCGTCGGGGAAGCTCCACGCATTGTCCAGGAATGAAAAAAAAAATACCGTCATGGGTTGAAGGATTGGATTTCTACAATGTAAAACACATTATCAATGAGTCTGACCCACGAATGTCCGATAACTTATTTCCATTTTGTCATTATGGTGATAAACTGGGCAGCCCACCGGGAGACAATCCCCCTGCTCTTAAAGAGTCTGCGTCCATCGTGCACATAGGCCATATAGCACACGAGAGCGGGGATGTGGTCTCAGATATAAACGCATGATGACTCTGTCCCTCTATTGTTTATTCCTCTGGTACGGATTGAATTACGCCTTCAAAAATATAGTCTGCGCAGATGCATCTGCGAACGTTGTGGTGTCAGCCAAATTTTGCGTGTGCTTGCATTGAGTTTTATTTACTACGCTTTTTTCAAATTGATCAAACTTATGTCTTTAACTAGTAGGAGTCTGATATTCGATATCACATCGTCGTCATGTCAACTGAACATTCGCAAATTAATGTGAATACGATGGGAGCGTAATGTGCTGCAGAAATGGAGGTTGGGGGCCGAGTTTAGTCCTGATGACAACGTCCAAGACTGAGTAAGTATAAGACAGTCAAATATTTCTATTTTTATGAATTAATAAAAAAATAATTTTAACGACAGCAGTTAAATTAATGAAGATTTTTAATATTTGATATACAGTAGGCCTATTCAGCAATTGAAGAGGTAGCACAGTTCTAATTTTATTGGCTCAAAAACAAAACTCAGCAGGGAAAGGAGAGGTTGTGTCTCGGTTTTGCCTACTATACACCTTGTATTATAAAAAAAAAAAAAAACTTATTATTTGCTTAAGGCTCACTGTTCGTATTTTTTGCCAATTTCAGGCTAAATTTGTTATTATTTTGGTTTATTTTTTAAAACCTCATTTGACCCCAGGGTCTCAATTTTTTCTGTTCTTATTTAGTTCTTAATTGTTAAGCAAATTCAGCCTCAAAGTTCATATAAAATGTGTTCTTATTTGAAAAAGTGTACTGGTAACAGTGTGTTCGTGTATAATGTAGGCCTATACTGCAGCCGAAATTGCATCTGATTGTGGTGGGCAGATTTCTGAAAGTGTATATACAATCCTTTATAGGGTGAGACCTGTTTAAAAAAAAAATATTGATGCGAATCATGCATATGCATAATATAACCACGTAACAATAGCAAATAATCACACACATTATGCAAACATGAGTAGTACAGAAAATAAATTAGGCGAGGAAATAAAAAAGGCTAAAATTAATATCTATGGAAGTCTTTCGTAGATCGTAAGAAGGCGATATGATATATATAAGAAACCATTTTATGACGGCAGAACTAATGAATTGAGAATGATGAATGAATAAAATAAAAGGATCGATATTCACCACATTGTTAAAAAAAAAACAAAAACAAAAAAAAAACAAAACAAAAATGCCTATAAACTAGGCCAATGCTACTTTATCCATTAAGTTAACCCATAATCTTCAGGCCAACAATTAATCGTCTGAAGCGAACTCGACACCAACAAAAAAAGCCTCACTGAAGCATAGCACTTTTATTGTCAATATATCCATTCAGAGGCAAATTCTCAATTGTTAATGTAATTATGTATTAGGGATCCCGCTCTGGAAGTCAATGTATGACTTGTAAGGAAGAAGAATTCGATTTGTATGAAATAAATTTGAACGCAGACTTAGGCCTACACATCTATCAAATATGGTTGGTAAAAGCAAGGATAAAAAACAGGTCTCAGAGTGGGACAGCACAAATGAATTTGAGTTTGACGTTATGGCTTCATCGCTTGTATACAAGCCTAAGCAAACACAGTCCACAGTCTTCGCAACGTCTAGCTCTGCTGAATTTGCCGTACCGACGATTCATGAACGAACGAACACTCAGGCTACGAGACGAAGACGTATACACAATGATGACCCGGGCTCGACGCGGGCTATGGGGAAAAATGAACTTTTGATTCTGTCATCGAAGCCTATGTGGGCATACCCACGAAGGGCGGCTCTGGTGATGCTATTTTTAACTTATATTATTTTATTTGCCGTAGCGGTCAGCATGCTTGTTAATACGCCACCATGTCCAACAAATAACAACTGGTACGAACTGGGAATAGGGTACCAGATTCTACCAAGATCTTTCAGGGATTCTAACGGAGATGGAATCGGAGATATCAACGGTAAGTCGGTGTTTAACATAAATGATATTATCATTATTATCATTATTATTAATATTAATATATTATTAATATTATTACTGTATTATTATTATTATTATTATTATTATTATTATTATTATTATTATTATCATTATCATTATTATTAATATATTATTAATATTATTACTGTATTATTATTATTATTATTATTATTATTATTATCGTTATCGTTAATATTATCATATTCAAAGACAATAAAAATTGTTTATGGGACAAAAAAAAAATTAAAAGGAAGAAGTGTTTAAAAAATAGTGTGTTGGAAGGCCAGAATACAAACTCACAAAAACACAGCCACACCCACAAACACAAACCTATACACACAAAATATTTTCGTATTGCGAAATAAAGTGATTCATGAGTTTCTTTTTTGGAAAAGAACCTGACAGAGACTGAGTTTAAAATTGTGGGTGGTAAATTGTTCCAGAGTATCGGACCAGTGTATCTAATATTGTGTTGAAAATAATTGGAGTCGTAATTAGGTATTGCAATATCATTTCTCGATCGAGTATGATAATTGTGAATGGAGTGATTAAAGGTAAACATGTTTGTGGTGGGGGGGGGGGGAAACAGAATGAATGGCAGAGTATAACAAAGTACCTTGTTGAATAATATGGTTAATATCAGGCAGTAGGAGAAGGTTTAGATGGAAAAAAAATAAGGGAGATATAATAATAAATTGTATTATTCGTTTCGTTCTGGTCAACACCCGACTTCATTTCAAATCTTTATGACATCATAAAGACAGCGCAATCATAATATTTATAGAGGGCAGCCTTTCTCTTCGAGAGACAAACAAAACAAAATTTGGTAAATCAATTTGTACATTAACATTTCTGAATAATACTTCCAATAAAAAAAGGTATCAGAGACCCTATTTCAGTCTTATAAAAAGGACATTAAAAGTATGAAAAATAATATTCGATCAATGTAGTAAGGCTACGCAGTGAACAGTTTACCTAAGGCGTCAACTTCTTCATTTTTATTATTGACAATGAGTGATGCGACCCCGGTTCTAATACTGTAATGTGACACATCTTTCTGTAGTTTCTTAATATAATGCTGACATTGATAACAATATCTTTAATTTCAACAAAAATACTTATAGGCTTAAAAGCAGGTATTTATTCTGTTTAATGTATTTAGGTATAAAAGAGAAACTAAGTTATTTGAAAGACATTGGCGTGTCGATCATCTGGCTGGGATCCGTATCACAGACCCCCTACCAAGATCTGGGGTACGATGTGTCCAACTTCATCGAGATTGACCCTATGATCGGTACATCCGAAGACTTCAAGAACCTCGTTGATGAGATTCACAAACAAGGTGCGTTTTACATGTTATCGTCAGTATCAGAAGTCTTGAAATGCGGTGGCTGTCTCTTATACACATCTAGATGTGTATAAGAGACAGACCACACAGGATTACTTTTCTTTAGGATGTGCTGCACTATTGGTTATCGCAGAACGTAGATGGATTTTTCTTACGTCATGTTAACTCGATTTTTGAATCTAATGAGTTAAATCGAGACGAGCCCGTCAACCCGATATACTACACCTACGACAATGAAACACAGGTAAGTGGGCTTACAAAACGAACAATGCTCCTGTATCTTGTCAATACGTGAGTAATGCTGGTTTTATCGTTGTTTTGTTTAGTGGTAGGGCTCCGGGTCCCAATCCAGGATGTTTAAGAGAGGTGGTTCCTATGAGAAAGCCTCCAGAGGCCTGAGGAAGAGGTTGCATAAAGGTCGAAAAAAGTGGTTCGCCCAAAAAAAAGAAGGTTCGGCCAAACCATAGGGCCCTTAACCCCTTGATGCGAGAAGTTTAATCACAAAAGGAGAGGAATGGGGGAGGGGATCACGGATTTTCACTTAACCAGAACCACGCATGTTTTGTCATCCAGGAAAAGAGATTTCATTAAAAAAAAGAATTATTATTGTTATTATTGTATTATCATTACCAATTATCAATTATTGTTTTTATTTACATTATTATAGTTATAATAATAATAATTAATAATAATAATAATAATAATATAATAATAAAAAAATATACTACTATTGTTATTGCTGTATTATCAATGTCATTGTAGTTATTATTGTTATTATTGTTATTATTATTATTATTATTGTTATTATTATTATTATTATTATTATTATTATTATTATTATTATTGTTATTATCACTGTAGATACTTAAAAGCTATGAAGAGCTGTCACACATTTATACCCGAGATCAACAGGAAGTCTACCAGCTACTGAAGACGTGGAGGAGCGTAATGCAAGAATACGAAACGATGGCAGGAGATGGCGAGAGTGTTCGCAAGTAGGCCATTAAAACATTAAAAATAAGTATAGGCCTACAGAATGTGTATGTTATCATAATGTAACTTCTCAGTGATAATAAAAATCGAATTGATAAAACATGACATTGTAGGCATTTAATGATATAGGCAGTTTCATATGAGAGGCGGGTGGGCGTAAATAATTTCATATCACCTGGTTATCAATATTACTATTAGGCCTATTATTAATATTCATTATCCTAAGATACAGTATAAGCATTTCCTATCTACAGACTTTTGGTCGTTGATGTAAACGGTAGCAACCTGACTGAAACACTGAAGTACTCAACAGAAGGAATGGCCGACTACGCCTTCAATTACGCCCTCTATGGATCATTAAGTGGAACGGTCTTGGCTTCAAAAATAGAGGAATGGCTGAGAGTAAAACCAGAAGGTTCAATTACAAGTTGGTCGGTAAGTATTATGAACAAATATATATGTGTATATGTATAGGAGTGTCTATGCAGATGACTTCACCAAGTGGACCGCAAATGGGGTCTTCGTTTAGAAATCCAAATCCGATTAGAAGATATTTCACCCTCCTTTTACATGCGTAGTCGAACAGCAGTAGTTCTTTTTATGCCCTGAAAATATGCCATACGTCCTCATCTTAAGCATTTTAACAACAAGACGATACTTTCCATAAATATACTTCCATCAGTGACAATGGAAAATGCGTTCACCCAATCGGCAATTGAACCTAAGAACTATAGACTAACGTATACTTTTCTGTTTCTATTAACTGAGCCGTACGGACATGTAGTACACTCCTTGTATAGTTCTATTAGGCCATCGCACGTTTTTCTCAAAGTGTCGTTGTGGCCCGGATAGGTCTCAGATTGGGGATCGAAGTTTTCCTCAACACAATGTAAACATCTTTCAACCCTATATGGCGGGACAACTTTATGCCGACCTAAAATATTTTAGGCAAGAGTATTAATCATGTCAATCATATTTCTTTTAGATTGGATCAGCTGATAATCATCGAATCATGTCGCGATATAATTACATATCCAAGGCGATGATGACCCTGTTGTTAACACTTCCCGGGTCAGCTGTCTTGTATTACGGGGACGAAATCGGTATGACGGACATCCCAGTGACACATACTATTTCAAGGGATCCAAAAATTTTCGAAATTAACGAAACGGTAATAATTTTTGTTGTTTTCCACGGGCGGATCCAGTAGGGAACGTTTCGCCACTAAATTTTAAAATTTTACTGCAAATCAACGTCATGTGCTACTCACTAAGGCCTGCCTATTCTAAAACTGTTGTTCCACACCACCCCCCCCCCCGTTTGGAAAATTCTGGATCCACCCCCTGTTTTCTACATTTTCACTTAAAGCTGGAGGCGTTTATTTGAGTAGGCCTCCTGTATATACGTCCACAATACACCAAAATAAATAAATTAATCAATAAATAAACAGCCCCCTCATACATGCTCTCCTTAAAAACCTCCTAAACATAAACACCAAGGGGCGTTTATTCAAATAAAATGGTACTACTTACCCAACCAATATGAATGCTATAGAACGCATTGACTTGACATCTCAAATTTAGTGCACAGGTATCCCCTTACCTTATTACATTATACTCATGTTTTGTTCATCAATTTTGTTGGAATTCCCTCATATCTTCCTTGTATTGGCAAGTTTTTTTCTGTCAGGATTTTTTATCTCTTCGTATCAATTTCTGGTTTCCTTCAAAATGTTCTAAGCAGGGGCACCCCCTCACTTTTGGAAAGGAAAAAAAAAGGAAAGAAAGAAAAAGGAATTATTGATCGCCCAAGAGGTTTTTTTCCGGACTTCTAGGGAACAAAAATTTCACCTTAGGATAGTGTTGCCTCTCGATTTCCCCCACCCCCCTTTTTGGACATATCTGGATCCGCCCCACTGAGGCAATAGAATTGGCCATCACATGTATTATTAATATTGAAATTGGATTGACACTAGACCTTCATTCTTTTTTTTTCTCTCTCTTTTGTTTCAACGAATGATACACTGGTACATGGTCAAATGGTGTTTGCGCGCTGCAATGTTCAACTAACCTCAACTTTGACCCAGTTCACATCTACTCTACATCATCAACCAATTTATACCCGCAGTGATCCTCTAGCCTAGTCATGTTAATCCAATAACAATTTTTCTTATTATAGTACGACAACCTTATTAATAACATATCGCGAGATGCTGCGAGGTCACCGATGCAGTGGTCAAGCAATATTAATGCAGGGTTCTCGGATGCCAATTCAGAAAATCTATGGCTACCAATCAATAGTAATTACATTGATGTTAACGCTGAGGTAATATCTCAAATTATTTTCAATTGAATTTTTTTTACCAATACTTACCATTTTTATAATTATGAATTCCAGTTTATTAGTTTACTTTAGTGATTTTCTAGGCTATGAAATGAATTTCTTGTATTCGATTTTTGATTTGATTTATTCAATACAGTATGCTTTTTAAAATACAAAACAAAAAAACATAAACCGATCTAATCACAAAAGAGCATATCGGGGATAAGCCTAAAATTGCAAAGAAAAAAAACCGGAATGGAATGGATTTATTCGGTGTAAACACCAAGGATAACCCTGTTTTTCGTAACTAAAAATACATATTTTAGAATTAGTATTTAATATGTATATATAGTTTGGTCTTTTTTGATGATCCAAAAAACAGAATAAAAACTTTTTACTTTAAAATATTTTTCAGTGCTTCCAGATTAACCTATTACCATGTTGTCGTTCTGTGTCCTTCATTTCGTTGTATCTCTATTCTCTACCGTAATTTCCAGAAACATACTTTTACCACAAGCTACAATTCAAGAACGCATCTATTTACATGAATTGGCAACGATCTATGCTAATGAATTTATAAGTGAATTAAATGCTCATAATATGTTCTTTACCTGTCATAATTCTCGTTCTGTACCGGTACGGTAATGTTTTTGTAAGGGGGATATTGAAGACGAAATACATCTTCTTCCCAAATGTAAATTATACAGTGATTTAAGAGAAAAATAATACATCCCCAGATATCATGTTTATTTTCCTGCACAATATAAATGTTTTCCTTCATGATCTCGCACAGTCCACTAGTAATAAAAAAAATATGCATCTGTCTACATCATCAGATAGATAATCGTTTACAATTAACTACGTAGGCCTCTAATCTTCCACATTGTTCATTATTATTTTATGATTTTTTGTTTGTATGTATACAAGGTGCCAATGGCCTGAAGTTGTTTAACAACTTGAAATCAGTAATTTTCTTTATTTTTATAATCTAGGTGCGGAACCTGACGTATTTAAAATGTCTTCGAGACCTGGTGTCATTGCGTGGCAAACGAACGTTCAAAACTGATCAACTGAGGATACTACGCGCACAGAAAGACGTGCTTACGTACGCACGAGAACTTATTGGTTACCCCACGTACTTCGTGGCAATAAACCTAGCAGATTTCAAAATCTTAGATCGGTATTATCTCCACAACACTGATCTGTATGGAGTTTCGGAGATTGGTACGGTTGTATTTAACACAAATGGGGAGATAGGAAATTCAGTGGATATACGTAATTTAACGCTTGAAGCTGACCAAGCATTAATTGTGGAATTCACTAAATGATTCAAGATTCCATTTATCGTCATATATACAAGCAAAGTACATGAAATTTGCTTTTCAGAGCGAGGAATACACAAAAATATACACACAAATGATGATAAATTTGTTGAAATATTGTTTTCATTTAATATTAGGACAATCACTTATTTTGATCAGTCTAACAGTATTCGGACGAATTTGAAAAAAAAATAGGTCATGTAGAGTTATTTATAAATCAACAACTCAACATAATTTTGATGCAACATTGTACCTCTATTGTCTTTTTACACAAGTCAATATTTGATGGATTATAAGAGGGTTATATGGGGGTGTATTGGAACGTCCCTACTTCATGATGCATAGTTTGGTGAGGTACCGGTAGGGATTTTAGGGTAATTACTTTATTGTTCTCCTAGTGTAGCAGAGGCAATGCCGTAGCCAGCTATTGGGACAGTTGCGACAGTCCACCACAATTTTTCTAATGGTTCCATAAAAAATGGGTCCACATTTAAAAAAAATTAGTCCAAAATATGCAGTTTTATACGTAAAAGAGTCCACTTTTTACAAAAATGGTTCCATATTTCTCATATTTAGCCTAAAATGGGGAAACTTTTAAGAAAATGTGTCCAGATTTTTCATATTTTTTCGTAAATTGGGTCAACTTTTATGAAAATGGGTCCACATTATTTGAATTTAAATGGGTCCACCCTGACATTGTCCCGCACTGTTTGAAAAATCCTACGGCTTGTGCAGAGGGTACCGTACATTGCTTGGTGGGTATGCCGGTCGTTTGACCAAGGGAAGTGACATCCCTCAGGATACAGTGTTATCACCTATTGTACTTACTTTATGCAAGTCACACGTAGGGCCTACAGTATTATCATAAAAAATTGTATTTTTGTAAACGTCTAATCATGTTTCAGCTGAAATTGCCTATTCAAAGCTATAAATTGAAACGAATAGGCTAGGCCTATATGAAATATTTGTAAATAAGCAATGCCTTCAATATGCAATGATTTAGAATGGGTCTGCAGACGTTAATAATTTTGTGTTGGAATGAAGCAAAATGACAAATTATGTCTTTAATTAAAATGTTCCCAACATAAACTTCTATTTATCTTATTTTGACGTCATCCACGAACACGCCCTCTAGTTGTCCTTTTCTGGCCTCTCTAACCTATTAAATAGGTCCATGATCTTATCAACAAGCCGAAATATTTCAAGAAGTCCTTGGTTTGTTCTCTGTTTTTCTGAATATCTTTTTTCATTTGCGAGCTTGTTAGAACTGATCGTCCCCATATCACCTGGTTTGCTTCAATCCAGCATATAACAGATTAATTTTCTCACACGAAAACTCCCCAAACCTCCTGAACAAACAGGGATTATAATAATTTAGGTCGACTATAGCGCATTAGAGTGATTATATTCCTGGGTGGATCTCCGTTATAATGCACAAAACATCATCTCTGACCGTTTACATGGTGTAAAGTTACAATACAATGTTATTTTTACATGGTGTGCGATTCTGGGTCCTTATACGTGTTAGGAGCCAAAACTGACACCGTAAATGTGACAGTAGTAATTTGTCTTTCCCTTTTACGTCCAAATGCCCCGTGGTGAACATGGTTCTTTGATAAAGATCATGCACAAGACGGATGCGTGCGCTTGACGTAGGCCCATATAAACTACACTAGCACTCAGCTAGACTTTAAGTAATCACTGGGAACAGCTGCGAATATAAATCATTGGGTTAAGCGTCCACGTATTCGCGCCTTTTTATTCGTCTGCTGAAGCTAACCTACTTTCAGATGCGATCTTCAATTCAACCGACACAGACGTAAGTAACTGAGTTTTTCACATTACTTTATTATTTTGTTGTTTTGTCTTCGGTTTTTTTAAGTTTAACAAACTTTTCAAAGCCTCCGCATAAATGCGTGACTCTCCCAATATTGCTAATACTGTAAATACCGATAGATCTTGTGAGTTTCTGTTACGGTGGCTCGTCATGTATTGTATAGATAGACGAGAAGAAGCTACCATTATCCGGCGGAGTTTTCATTTTAAAGTTTGATGAGTGGCCTCAGAACTACGAGTATGCCTGTAAACATACCTCCAAAACAGTAGGCTACGTAAAAACAGTTGAAATGTATAATTTCCATGATTATTTTATCTTGCTCATTACTTATTTTTGTGCCGCCCTTCTTAGTTTGTAGGTCATTTTCGTCGATCACAATTAATATGATACCAGTATTTTAATAGGCGGTCACTGTCTAAAGGCACGATAACGAGATAGGCCGCCTAGGCCTACACAGAAACGGCGTAGTGGTTCGGTTGGGGAAGTAAGGGCTTATAACATAAAGTAAAAAAATATATATATATAATATAATGCCTATACTTTTGATTTTTCTGCCAATTCAAAAGAGTAGCTCATTGGTAGGTTTATTTTCATTCTCTATGGCATTGGTAGGTTCCGACGTTGACTTCCCCCGATGATGAGAGAGCGCAGGGACAAAATCGCTCTTAGTATTATTATGCGTATGGGTTTTAGGTTCATTATTTTTCAAGGTCCGACCACTCCCTGCTCCGACTAGTCATAAAAATTTCTCTATTCCAGAGGGTTTTTAATTGCTAGTCATAAAAAATGAGGTCATACGGTTCATCACATGGCTTACCTTGCTGACGTCGACCTACAAGAAAGTTCACTAGATAATGAATGCCAAAACTAATTCGTTTGTTAATTGTTGGGTATTCGGGGGTCGTTTTTGATGCAGTTTTTGACTGAATGTTCATAACTTTATTATATAAACAAATTGATCAATTCAAATTTTGATTTAAGCCAAAAAAAATTCTTGGTTTTGACAGATAGAATATCCTTAATAGAGGGTTTGGTACGAGACTACATTTTCAAAGAACCGGCAATAGGTTACTTTATTTATTTTAATGTTGCCCATCCAGACGGAGCTGATCATTAGGAAGCCTCAACACAAAGTAATGACAAAACAAGAGTATAAACTAATTAATTAATAGTAGAATAAATAAATAAATAATGAAATAATAAAAATTACTGTAAGAAAAGTAAAAAAACATATACATATGAGGGGGACAAAATACCAAAAAAAACTAACATTCAAATCAGTCTTAATTTACTAAATGAATCATAATAAATAAAAATAATAGGCCTATGGAAAACTGAATATAATATAGTCTGGTAGACGCACGGTATGAAATAAAAATACTGGCTTATGCTGGGTTCAAATTCATCAGGTGTAGTGAATGATGTCAAAGAACCATATAACAATCGTCCATCGGTTAACACAAAACTGACCACCTCTCTCTATAAATGATGACCAAACACCGAGACCTCCCCAAATTTTCAGGTCCCAAAAAAAATTCTCGAATTGGGGGAAAACTGTATGTAGGCCTATTTGGTTCTTTGAAAAAGTGGTCTGGAAGTTTGGTTTCCATACAATCGCTACAGAGTCGCTACACCGTTTTTACTGCAATCGTTGCACTGCGTAGCTGTCCCCGACGCGATTTCTTTTATCGTAGGTAAGTTGAGCAAAAATTTAATGAATTATTCATTTACTAGCGCATGCGCAACTTCGCTTCCCTGGACTGCTTGCTGTAGCTTTTTCACATCACGCGGTGAGCGAAGGTTGGATTATTACGGAGCCCCTAAAGGGACATGGTTAGAAAAAATATTAAACTATTTCGAGGGAACGAAAACAGTAAATATTACTAACATAGGCCTACAATCACATCACTGCACAGTACAGATAGGAGTTGTTAAAATCCAGAGGATCCACTAATTAGTCTTAAATAAAACAAAAAGACAGTAACGAAAAGTGAAGAGACATTTTGAGATTCAACGTTTCGACCGATGATCATTTTCAAGAAAACTGATGAGAAAATCTCACCCATCCATATATATTTAGGCCTACAATATTAACAGAAGTATAGCAAAGCAAATAAAAACCGACCAATCAGATTAAAATTAGAAAACAATAAACTTAACATCAATAATTAAGACATTTCTCTGTTTTTTTTTTTCTGCTTCCAAGACTTCCAAGGTCATTACTGTATGTTGTTAGACAAAAGTTCAGAGCAAAACAAGCAGCTAGGAAAATAATGAAAGTGTGGAACAGTGAAAAAAAAATGATGAAGCTATAGCACTGTTTCCAGTCAGTCGATTGGTTTGCGCTTCATGAGACAGCACGTGACCTTAACGACGCGGTTGAATTAGTCAAGTAGGCCTAGTCATTACAGGCCAATTTATGCCTATCTAAATAACGTTATTTTGATTGCCAATCTCTATTGCTAAAAGCAAAATTTTGGGTCATTTTTAATCGTAAAACTTTCCATACGAACCGCAAACCTTATCAAGAATTTTTATTCCGGGACCCTGGCCGAGGGTCTAGTCGGCCCTGGTTCGGATCCCGCTGTCGAACGCCCTACCCCCCCCCCACCACCCTCACCATCGGC